CCACTGTAGAGACATTAGGTACTTTTTTTTTTTTTTTGGAAGCAGGCAAAATGAAAAATATGCAATGCCTTCGCCGGGAATCGAACCGCGGACCTCTCGAATATGCACCCAGCGTGCCGACCAACACATCACGAAGGCATGCCAAGAAGACGGGAGAAATACCTTATGCGACAAGTAAAAAAAGTTTTCGGACCCAATTTTTTATTCGGTTATCGCTAAGCAGCAGTTTCTCCGTCAGACCTAAATGTCTTAAATTGTGACATGTTTGCAAATACAACATTGTTTAATATGATTATTTTTTTTCTTACCTTAGGTTTCTATGAAGGCCAAGCGTTTGTTCTTTGTTTTCTTATTGTCAAAAGAATTTAATTCTTGCTGTTTGCCCATTGTATCCATATGCTCTAATTATTTTTCAAGCATTTTAAGGAATAACTTTTGTTACAAACTGTTCTTCTAAAACCGCTGTAAAGTTTTATAGAATTCATATTGAACTATGTTTGGTTTCTGGTAGGATAAATATCCGACTCCATGGCGTTAATTTTGGATATGATTCAGACTTCAGTGCACTTTCAACAGTTCCAGAATTTTTATAACATCACAAAACAGTTCAACTCTTTAAATGAAGGACGTTCTTAAAGTTTCGAATGTTTTAACCATTTTTAAAATGATGAAATGTTAAATTTCTAACAGAATTTTCCGTTAATTTTAGCATCCTATCATGCTATAGGAAAGTATATCATTTCAACCCGTTTCAAAGCATCACAAAAGACAAAAATATGAAATCAGTCCTTAAACAGTCTGCTAGCTATTTATGCGCATGCAATACACTTAATCTTAAAACTATTAATATATACAGGATATAATTACATGAGCTGTAAGTAATACTTAATTCAAGAATGAAACGTTTGACAAACTTGTTAACTTTGGAGAAACAAATTAAAGATCATATGCCTTGCAAAGAATATTAGGCCTTTCGTTTTGGAGCAGGCGCCATGAGAAAGGTACAGTACCTTTATTGGAACTCGAACTGCGGATTTTCCGACTGTTAGCTGGACGCACGCGATTTAAGGAGGGAGAAAAACTTTAAAACATTTGTATCTTTGCAGTCATTGATTTTGCCATATATTAACACATTTTGTTTTCTTTAAAGGTCCTTTATGGTCTTCTCATATATTTTACCATCTCGAAAAATATTATTTGAGACTGCAACTTTGGCGTAAAATTCAAAATTTTCATTAATTTAATTCTCTTACGGCATGCAGTACAAAAAAGAGTTATTTTCATTTCCATGAGAGATAGGTTTTCAGTGTTACTCGTGTATTTCGTATGATATATGTTTATTGTCATCATTGAGACTTGACTATCGACCTGTATTCCAGCCTCATCTTCGATATCTTCGTTATTAAATTAGAGTACATGTTCATAGATAGTTAAAATATCTGTTCTGGAGATTAAAGTATGAATTTGTACTTTATATTTAAGTAAACATTCACCATAAAATAAAATAGTACTCAAACGGCATCACCAATTCCATGATCGAGTTTTGAACTATTAGTGATTATCCATTCCACGACTCTCTTGAAATAATGAATATTTCTACGCACATTTCCGAAATAAAACTGGCACAAAACACTGTTTTCATTAAATATCCATCTACCTCTTTATGACAGGTCTTCAGGTCGCTAAAATTAATTTCCTGGCAAAATCTCTGTTTCGTAATAATTTCTTATTTCAAGTTTTAAGTCCAGCAAAAGCGAATCTCCTAGCATCTTTAAAGTACTCGGCGAAACAATACGGTAGCATTTCATAGTTTCAAAAAGCCTAATTACCTTAGGGGTATATTTCAATTTATGATATACTCATCAAGCGTCGCATGCAATTAAAATTCTTCCAGGAGCTTTGTAATAAAATTCCTGTAAAATTTTATTTGATTAATTGAATAAACACTGCCACAACCCGGGTCCTTTAACCACGATAAAATTCGTGGTTTTGATCTGATGATACCGGTTGGTAAATGAAGTAAGTCTCAGCAATATGCTGGAACTTTACGCCTAGAAACTAGTCTGAATACAGTAAACTAGTATTTTCTTAGCTACAGAAAAGCCTATATATTTTGTAGTATCAAAGTTAGAGTAGACGAATTCGAGAATCTGAACTTTCCCAGTGATTAATTATGAAGATATTCACACTGGATATGGCAATAAAAATGATAAATAATGAAGAAATGAACTTTATTGGAATATTTCGAATAGCTGTTGAAACAGTTCTACGTATAAGGAGAAGAATGAGAAAGGGTTAACTGAGAATTCAACAATACTGTGCGTTCTGTATTACGCAGAAGTATAAATTAAGTCAGTTGTAATTGTCAAACACATTTTCGATGTAAGGGTGTTAGCAGAAATATTTTAAAAAACAGCAATATAATCACCATAATAATGTTTGCATACCTTTATTACTTTATATTACATATTTTATAACAATAAAATTACTGAAAGGCATAAAATTAAGAGATTTTTGTTTATCCACCAAATCTTCCAGTAAACCGATCGTTGCATTACAGAAATGAACGACGATACATTTTAATAAGGCATATGGTAGAATCAATCAAAGTCAAATTTGTCTTAAATGAAAACAAATGTCATTTATATCTTATGAATGTAAATACTCAAATGTTATCTTAATTATTAGCTAAGCATTATTTTATTACCTATGACTTACAGCATAGTATCATATATTTATGTCAGCTATTCTAATACATAAATCCAATTTTTTAACAGAAAAATTATCACAATTTTAATCGATCTTTTTCCTAGTTGATAAGAAGAAAAGAACAAAAAAGAAATTTTTAAGGCATCGTTGATTAATTTTTTAATATTTTGTTTTTACATCAATCCTTAAGTGATATATTATTTTATACCTTAAAAAAATAGATCCACCAATGACTTAACAATTGTGTATATCTGGTTTCACACACCGGCAAATGAGCTGGCAGCATGGGAATTTCCAGGCTTTTTCCCACGTGTAAAGTGAATACTATAGCCAGTGGCCCTTAAAATGTCCACCACGAAAGCATCCTTCGCATTAAGTCCTAGATAGCCTTCGCGTCCTTTTCCGTAATATAAATAATTCCTGTCGCTTATTAAACGTTTAAGCATCTAAGGCAATGAATCTCAAACGTTTTCTTCCATCGACCCCTTTTTAAAAGAATGGCTTCCTTCATCGATTCCCCTTGCAATTTTTTCGATAATAGACAGTATGAAACAAAATCATAATACAAATAACTGTATATAAATAATTTAGAAACAGCAAATTAGACTAATAGATGAACAAAGTTTTTAAAAAATGGTCTGTTAAATATATTGTTATTATTTGTTATTATTATATTTATTATTTCACAAATATAAACAAGCTTTCAGAAACAAAGTCCCCAATTCTAATTGCACAAAAGTTTAATTTTAATTAATTCGTTTAATTTGTTTTCCAAAATGTATGGCTCCACGTAAAGTACTGAGGCAATTTTTTTGTTGATATTTTGTATAACATTGCTGAGCTTAATTCTTAAATCACACGTTCAAAAATATTCATAGGTAAGAAAGAAAGAACTCATAGGTAAAAAAAGGGAAAAGTCAATAATGTTGTTCAGTAACAACTTTTATATATTTCTCTCGGAGGAATTTTAAATACCAAAACTTAGTACACACTTGCATTTTGAGAAAAGGTTTTCTTGATTTGCGCCTTCAAAGCAATAATCTCTTCTTGCATTATAAAATCAAGATCAAATAACATGAATCAATAACGTGATCAAATAACGAGCCAGTTTCTTTTAGAAAGTATTATATGAAAGCACCTCTCTCCTTAGGCAGATAGCCTCATTGTGCTTTACCACAATCAAATAAACCAATGTTGATGATCAAGTTAAAAAAATACATCGCAGTCCAACTGTTCTATCAGTCATGCTGGCACATTTAAATTTGCTCTATCAGCCATGTTGGCACATTCAAATTTTCAATGTCTTGGATGTGAACATTAAAAATTTTCTTTTAAATTTTACAAGTGGTTTTCTAATATAATTTCTTTGCGTTCTTCGTATATTTTTTGGTTGTGTTTTCTTATATTCACGAGATTTATTTTTTAGGCAGAACTCTTTAGGGAAAAAATATATACATATATCTTTAATTATTATTGATTTAAAAAATATTTTAAGCATTTTTTGTATTTTTCCGCTATGCCTATCAATTGCCTATTTATAGTCAGCGATCGATCCCCAATCAAGCCCTTGATCATTACTCTCCCCCTTTAAAATTTCCTATACCGGCACTGTTAGGAGCCCTGATCTGAAGAATTACATTTGAGTGTGATTGATGTTATGTTGTTGAAACTAAAATTTAATTCATCCTCAGGCTGCTTCGTAAAAGCAGACTGCCACAATATTAGTATCCTTTCAGTAATGTCTCTTTTTTCTGGATTTATGGGTTTCCTTAACTTGTTTAATTTTTAATTAAAACATTAAATACGCAAGGTTTTTTTCCATGAATGGAACTATTATATTTAGCAGATGTTTATTTTAATATTAGCAAATCAATCGGTTTCTCTCTACGAAAGTTTTAATTAATTATCAATCAAATAATTTTATGCATTTTGTTAAGATGGAGACATACTGGTCACAACTACTGTGCATATTATGGAAACTAATTTACCACGCTGTTAATATTAGAACTTATGTTCTTTTATGGAAAATTACAATCAACATACAACGAGAACTTTAAAACTAACAGTATAATTCCTAAGATATAAAAATAATAAATAATAGTTCATAAATATAAAAAACATACTTTATAAATTATAGATTTCCGTTCAAATTTAAATAGTTTACAATAAACTAAAATTTAATATAAATATTAAAATATAGAATGATAAATGGTAAACTAAAAATCTTACAGTAAAGTTAAAAATGATTTTAATTGCTTTTTGAAATTATAAAAAATGTAGGTTTCACTTACTGCAGTCTTTTATTTTCATTTTTTCTCTATCTTCATCTGGCCGTTTTCTGAATAAGGAGTTGAAATATTGGTCCTTATTTTTATCGGCTGTAAAAGAAAAAAAAAAAGGAATTGAAGCAATGTAATATTTAATTTACTTCAGATATAGTTCCTTTTTCTATTTATTTATTACTTATTTGTACGAAGTAAAAAGGAAATATTGTAATCGCGAAAAATTTCGGGTATAATATTTCAACGAAAATATCGATTTTGACCGCTATCCAATGTAATTGATGGTTTTACGTTACATACATTGTTTTACATACAAAAAGGACAGACTAAAGGACTCTCCTCCCCCAACAAATTATAAAACTGATTTAAAATGAATTCTGAAGAGAATTTTTCGTGGCTTCTGTGCGTACGTACGTATGTACTTACGTATCTCGCATAACTCTAAAACAAGTGCCCTCAGAACATTAAAATTTTGTGTGTAGGACTGCAATAACATGTACATGTGCACCTCGTATTTTGGCAGCAATCGGCTGCACCAAAAGTATATAAATATATGTATATGCATATTCACTCTGTTTACTCGGCTCAGTTTCTTTATTCTTATAGGTTTGTAAATTGTGCATTTGTTGCTTTAAAAATGATTGCATTATGTTGGTCTTATCTTACGGTTAAGGTTTTTATGCCTTTAGTAAATCTGCATGCAATATCTGTGGAGTTATCAACAATTTAAAAGTTGTTTAAGTGCAACTAAGCGAGAATTTTGCGATGGCGAACATGATTGTTTACGTTTCAATGATAAAATTTTCCGCAGAAAGGAATGTTATATGAAACTCTTTTGCTATAGATAAACTGATTCCGTAGTACATGGAAGTCAACTAAAGCTGCAAGAAATTAATGTGAACAGTCCCTAAAATAATTTTAATACACTGCTGTTATATTATATTAGAAAACATTAATTGTTCCTAAACCTAACTGGAATCGTTTAACCTAATTATTACGGACAAACTTATCTTTAAGAATAATTAAGGAAAGTGTACTACGCTGGTAATAATACATTTCCTTTTCTTCAATGCCGTATTCAATCAAAAAGTTCAGAAAAGCTCTATGATTAAGAAAATATTAGCATTCGGCTCATTTCGTTGTTGTTGTGAATAAATTTACGTCGCACTGCAATTATGAAAATCATAACTGGAAGCTTTTCTTTATTGATCTTAAAACCATTCCCGCAAATAATATAATTACCTTATGCTTGAGAGTTCATTTATTCCCCTTCGTTTATACTTATTTTTCCTTTTTATTACTAATTTCAGATCGTACAGCGTTAACCTCTTCTATTAATTCCTGAACACGTTTCTTACATAATTTTGCTCTTGACTGAATTATTCTTCAGTTCGAAATGATTACAGTCTCTAAACTACTCATGATGATTTTATTTCTAATATTATACGGTATTAGAATCTGAAAGAAACAAAAGCGAAGAATTTTAATTGCCCCTAGGGATGATCAATACTCCTGTGGAATCTTACGGAACGTAACGCTAGTGTTATCGAAAATCGTAAATAGCATAAAGTTTGTACTACCATGTGATGCTATGCTGCTAGTTATTGGTTCTACTGAGATTAATTCTGATCACCTCAAATGATTAGAATCTGTAAGAAAAAGGTCAGTATTGCAGATTGCCCATAAATTACGTTTCGAACTGCAAGAAGTCTGAAGCGTAACTCTCAAGCGTAACTTCACTAAGTTACGAATAAATATCTCTATTAAAAACATAATTCTTCTATGCTGCAAATGAAATGAACAAACTACGGTTTTCTAATGTTTTTGTACGGCTTCACAATAGTTCAACAGTTTCAGCATTGCAAACTGCAGTGTTGAAATTTAGTAGCTAAGCGCGTACTTGAATTTAATGATTAATATACTATGCTCTAACGTTCGTTCTGGGACGATTCTAATTTATTGAAATGTAATACGGATTTCTTTCGAAATTTCTTGATTAATAATTTTACAGATTCATGCACTAAAAGACGTTAGCTACATGGCACACTAAGAAAAACCCCTGGATGAAAATGTCAAGACATGGGTGGAATCCAAAGTCGGAAAATTCCTAGACTGTTAATGCGTAATAACGTCACGTTGAAGTGCTGCATGATTCATTCTAAAGGATTTCCATGACTCGGTGCATGTAGTACAATAATGCTGTAATGGAATTATTTAATATGGACGCTTTTTTAATTTTTATTTTCAGTTTATAATATATTGCATGTAGTGCAAAAACTAATAAATAAATAAGTGTGCATGAAACAAATATAATATAAAAAAATGTAGAATTCAAAAATATATTACACTATTCTAAAATGAAAACAGATCTAAAATCGTTTTTTGTTCCCAGTTTCTTTTCACTTCCTTGTATGAAGTAGAGGAAATATTGTAATCTTTAAATATTTCGAGTATTATATTTCAACGGAAATGTCCATTCTGACCGTTTCCAAACCCATTTGGATGATTTTCTTGCGTGACGTCTGTACGTACGGACAGATTAAAGGGCTCTTTTTTCCGAAACGGATTCTAAAATGCATTCAAAAGGGATTATTTTTTCTTGGCGTATGCATACGTACGTATTTATGCATGTATTTATATTGCATAACTGAAAAACGATTATCTATAGAACATTGAAATTTGTAAATAGGACTGTTAAAACATTTGGTTGTGGATCTCCTTTTCTTGCTGCAACTGACAGAAGCAATATATATATATATAATACAGGGTGTACCGTAAATGTTGCGACAAACTTCTAGAGGAGGTAAGGCAGATCATAATAAGGATTAATAATTGCATAGGAACCTATACCCGGAAATGTCAGTGGTAAATGGTAGAAGAGGTAGAAGACGGGAAAGGAAACAAGAGAGTTATTAAGATGTTTCGACAGCTTTAATGTTACAACAGATGCTCGAAGTTTGCCCCATCAGACGCACACATGCCTAACACCTCTGGACCATCGATTGCCGAACATGTTCAAACACACCGGGAGTTTCTTTGATTGTAACAGCTGCGCAGGCGAGTCTTGCCACGAGATCCATATCAGACACAACAAGATCGTGATACACGACACTTTTGATGGCTCCATACAAAAAGAAATCAACACTCGATAAATCCGGTGAGCATGGGGGCCAGGGAACCTCTCCACCACGCCCAATCCATCGATGCAGGAATGATATGTTCAGATGGCTACGAACATCTAGTCCAAAATGTGCACGGGCCCCATTATGTTTGAACCACATGTTGCGCCTCACATTTGGTGGAACATCATCAAGCAAGCCTGGAAGAACTTGCGCTAGAAAGATCAGATAATTCGCGGCATTTAATCTAGATGGTAAACGGTACGGCCGAACTAAGCAGTTGCCGACCAAACCCGCCCACACATTGACATTGAAGCACTGTTGTGCCGCGTGGTGTCGCACAACGTCGGGGGTTTCTTGAGCCCACAAATGCTGATTGTCATGATTGAACACGCCATCCCCACTAAATGTGGCCTCATCCGTGAACAGCACATAAGCTGGAAAATTAATATCCGGGCATTTTCTTGGAGAAACCACTGTGCGAAACACACACGCTCAGGATAGTCATCGGGGAGCAATAACTGAACCCTTTGGAGGTGAAAGGCGTAGAAGGACTTGGTGTTCAAGACACGCTGGATATTGGTATGAGACATTCTTAATTGAGAGGCAATGGCCCGTATGCTGGTCCTTGGATTACTCTCTACAATATCCAACACGTTTTCCTCCCTGGCGACTGAGCGAGTCGATCGTGGACTGCCCTTACTTGTCCTGTCACTTCTTAATAACCCATCGTCACGCAAAGTTTGATGCAGACGTGCTAACAAACTATGGTGTGGTTGATGTCTGTCAGGAAATTTGAAATTACATACTCTGGATAAATATTTAAAGAAATAGAGCAGTCAAGCATTTTTCTGAAGACCCTGCAGTGGGTTGGTTGAACAATGGTAGAGGCAACAAAGGCAATCTAATGCACAGCAATTGTCAATCTAAAGCAGTGGATTGGCTGAACAATGGCAGAGGGAAATTTAGTCACAATAATTTCACTTTCATAAATTTTCAAAACTTAGTGTATGTTTAAAATTGACATTGATATAAACACATTAAGAAAACAGGCTTTTAAAGTCTTATCCCCGCAATAAATATTTAGTAATAAGTGTAAATATTAGCCACAAATTAATATGGAAAACATAGGTTCTGTTGTATAAGTTTCATAGAATCATACGGCAATTCTTTTAAAAATGTGTGAAAAAAACTGACTTGGCTTAAACTGCAATTCTAAACAGAAGAGTAGTCAAAGCTTTCTAAAGACTAAAGTAAGAGGCAAATATCGTGTGAGCTTATAACGAAAAATATTTAGTTCACAACTTACGGGACGATAAAGATGACTTCAAGTACAAAATACAAACAAAAAAATTACAGATATTTATATATTAGAGTAACCACTTCAGCGCAGTTTGGCGATTTTTACAGAAAAATAAGAACTTAAATTTGAAAAACTAAAACAAAAAAACTACATTCCATGTATTTTTAAGCTTTAACTGAGTATTTATTTTAAAAACAGCTTAAATAAACGTACATAACAGCGAACGTTTGTTCCTTTCGTTCTGGCGGGCATTTCGTGACTATCGCGGTTTAGACAAAGCAGTTGTCGTTTTCAGCGATTTTGAGTCAGATTACTGTGTTGCTTCAGAAGTTTTACGGCAGTTTCTTCGATTGTAAGTAAACATCACAAGAGCATATTTTCAAACTGAATTGAAAGCAAAATATAATAGTTTATTTATGAAAACAGTTGAACTTTGGAATACAATAAAAAAATTGTAAATGGAAGAAACGACGTTGCTTGTTAAAACGGAAGAATTATTATGCTAATTTGGAAAATTAGCGACTTTCACTAAGAGGCTGCGATAAAATGTGCCAAAAGTAACATGCATAAGCTCAGATACTGAACGTTGCAAAACATTGATACAAGGCGTTTCATAGTGAATAGGACAAAAAAAGCATAACTGTGAACAGTGTAATAACTTTATGGTTAATCTT